CCTCTTTGACCCCAAGGTAGGTCCTTATTTTGCCCTATCTTACCTTTTGATCCTATGCTGACTTTAGTCAATATCGTTACAACATTGGAGTAAACTAGCAATCGATTTTAACCGATTCTACAGTTAAAATGTTTGTTGGTTTCATTAGTTCTACAAAGACAAATTATTAGGTCTTTCCATCGACAAAGCTTAAGACATTACAATGAATATCTAGTTATTCATGCAGCCTAACAAAACTTATCTCACACTGATTGTCCATAAATAAACCTGTACACACTGGACATGCGGTTTGCTAGTCATGCCTTTAAACATCCTAATTGGTTGCGTATCACTATTTTTGAAAGTGAATCGGTAAGCGTTTGACGATGACACACTTTCATGAATGCCACAAACTCACTCGATGCTTTTTCAAAGCCTTCGGCATGGAATTTGTCCTCGTTTGTTGAACCAAACCAGAGTTTGATTGCTGAGGTAATCGTAGGACATCCGCAAAAGTCCTTCGTTGATTTGGCATTATATCAAACACAGATCTTATAAAATAACCAAATTGACAGGATTTTGAATTCAACTGTTGCACTGACGTTGTTACAACACAGCCATGTAGTGTAATAGTTTTCATTTCGGCATGAAGAAGTCACACTGGATCGTGTGTTTTTGTTCTGTCTAGGCAATTAACTCACCTGCAATATTTGATTTATATTGCACATTTAGAATCACCGAACCTCTAATAATGAGCAATAAATAAGAAGAATAATGCCACAAAGCGCCCATTTATTTCCTCAATTCCAATTGATTTAAACGCATGCTCTCGATTTTTGGTGTGGAAACTGCAAAAAATGCCTAAGTCTCTTACAAAACTTCCTACAGTATTTACGATTTCATTGAGACTGATTTTACACAAATCATTTGCTGTATTTTCTCATCCCATCTCATGGGTAAAGTCAGCAAGCATGCTAAACCCCAGTGGTGCAATAAAAAGGCCATTTTGAGAATCGGATAACCTTCGACTTGCGGCTTTGCTTTAAGCCAAAATATTCAGAGACAGTGCCACTTCCATTGCAATCTCGTTAAGTATATTCTACTCACTTCAATGTTTCAAAGAAACTTCGGTGTTTCTAACTAGCCAGTGGCTAGGTGGCTTTACGACTCAAAAATTCGGTATTGTAGACATGAAACCAGCTCATCGCCAACTTCTTGTGAACATGCAACATCAAGCCAAGGCTGTTTTTCAAGAAATAGCATCTAATTTGGGGCACTTTTGGTTATTTTAACTGCGAGAACATAGGCATCCCGATACACATCACAGAAATCCTGTAATTAATGTGGATTAATACTGAACTAGGGGATTACGCAGCCGCTTATTTTGAGAGCTGGCACGCTGTTACTTTAAAATATATTTGGCAGTGTCTTGCACACGAAGTCAACCACCCACAGTCTCGTGTCATTATGCAATTTGATCGATTAGCAAGCGAATGACACAAACTGCGCAGAATGTATTTATTCCGTACAGATGGCCGAGGTTGTCACGGCGGACGGGACTGGCATGATAGTTGGTAAGGTCAAAAGCACACGATCAAGTTGTGGGGATACTCATTGTGAAAAAAAATATGATTGTGCTTCCAACTTTTTAATTTTTGATCAGTTTGACTATGCTACCACTAAAGCAAAACGAGTAGTCCACTTTCAAGCAAATTCATGCTCACGGTCGCTCACTACAAGTAATTCTGGCAGATCCTTTTTGCTCTGCTAATCAGGCTTCTCGATTGCTGATAACTGGTTTTGCTTATCTTGTGATCTAGTAAAAAATTACTTCGTAAAAATGGATCACTACTTTGATCTATGCCTTTGATGTTATTTTTATGAATTTTCCGTTAATTAATTGTATCAATGCGTTCTCTGACTATAATGTATTGCGAAGCACCCTGTAATTAACTTATTTAATTGCGCATTGCACAAACTCTAGGCCACACTTTGGTTTCTTGGATCTGGTCCATCTCCGTAAATTATTATTCTAGCAATTGTAGGCTGTCGTAACAGCAGGACTATTCTGGTACTACGTCCTCTCACGTAGATTAAAACAGCCACAAGGAAATGTGTTGGACAGAATTAATGAAACATACCTTGATGGGATTCAAAGAGCTTTTCCTGAACCCGTCCAGGTGATGTCATCCACCCACACAGTGAATGAGTTCAAAAAACTTTTATCAATATAACAACCTTTGTAATGACCTTCCGGATCCTTCGGCCTCGCAGAATACACAATTTTTTTTCTCTACAGAACATCTCGGTGTCCAGGTCAATGACTTACATCACAGCCCTCTACTACACCCTCTCGCTTATTACCAGTATTGGGTTCGGGAATGTTTCCGCAAATACATTTGGAGAGAAGATTGTTTCTGTTATTTTTATGCTTATTGGCGGTGAGTGCATTGTTTAAATGACTGAAAAATTAATCATTAGTTAGAGAAGCTTATTATAATTTGGGCGAAATTTGTTGAGTGGCTTTTTTCTCGCATAAATTTTTGTTGGGCGAAGTCAGTTACCATGCCAGTGATATTAAAATCATTGCGCAAGTAATTTTAAGAAGAGTGCTTCTGGGCAGCATGAAATTACTTGGTATGCAAAACGCACAGTGTAAATTTTTGAGATAAATTTTAATTTCCAGGCAGGGCTCATGCAACTGAAACAATTATTGCTTTTCACCACACCGCATGTTTCCTTACAATCAGGACCAAGTCGAAATCGCAACGGGTTTGCATTCGATCAAAGTGCTTGTTATCTATGGTCCAGCGAACAAAGAAAACGCTGCAACTTTCTTTCTATGGAATGTGTAAATTTTTTCGACTCCACTTTCACATCGAAACAGTTTGAGTATGCATGCAATCAGCACACGAAATCCAAATAGTGACGCAAATGAAACAGATAATAGGGACTTAAGAGAAACTGATCTATCATGGCTGTTTTAAAGACAAAATGAATCATTTTAATGGCTTTAAGTTAAATCCACTTTTTCGTGAAGCCCAGTTGAAAAACTATTTTCTGACTGGTCTCCTTGTCAAAGGAGTGATTGACAGGTGAATAGCACGAGTAATTGTCTCTGATCGACGTAGGCCGTTAATTGTCGTAAAGGCTCAATTCCGTACAGATCTAGCTAGAAAAATTCACTAACTTGTAAATAGACATTCGCAAATGAAGAATTTTTCGGAAAGCATGTCGATGCATTTACAAAGATCAGGTTGGTAAAAATCTATTGACCACTTGCAGCATGTTAATTTGAAAGTGAAGACAACCACGATTAGATAAAAATGAATGAAAAGTCAAAATGACCTTGTAAAATTTATAAAATAAGTTGCGGGCGAGTGATTTGTAGCACTTTGACAAGCAAATGAAGATAAGAAGCTTCCAGGTATAATAATGGCTTAGGTAAAGATACGAAAGTCTGTACACAGCCTTTTCTACAGCAGGTTACTTTTTTTTCTTGTGTTTTAGCCTTTTGCTATGCCACTATTTTCGGTCAGATCACGACAATATTTCAGGGAATGTATGCTGCTCGCTCACGGTACCACGATATGATGGGTTCAGTGAAGGATTTCGTCAAGACCCACAACGTCCCCCAGGACTTAGCCGAACGCGTCATCGATTACGTCACATCCACCTGGGCCATCACAAAAGGCATAGACACCGCGAAGGTACGGGGACTTGTTAAATTTTACAATGCTCCTTGGTAACTTTAACACGTGCCTCATAGTCCATAGTTCCAGTTCAACATGCTGATATAAGACTGAACCACGTACTTGCGTTCCGTAGACAATGTGATTTATGTATATTAGACAATAAATTAACTAATGCATTTATACTCCATGCATTTGTAATAATAATCATAGAATGTGCTTGTTTTGACTTGGAGGCATCAAGCCCTTTGAAACCTGCCGAATTATCAAGGGCTTTCGGACTTGTGTGCGTCCATTTAGAGTGGAGCCCCTCGGATTCTATCCTTAATTGGTTCTAAAAAAATAAGCTTAATTTCACTCTTAAAAGGTACCCTTATAAATTGAAGGCTTGTCAAAGGGGTTTTAGTATCAGTGTCTTCAATTTGCAAACCTTTTGCACCTTTCTCTACCTGACTAAATTTTCCCGGTTGTACAAACCCCTCAGTAATTCTGTCGATTTCAGGTGAACGAACCCACATACTTTCAGCTCTCTCTCTAAGCCCTCATTCAATGATTTCACTAAATTCACATCCACTTTCACAACTTTGTCGAAATTCATTGAGGTTACAAGTGCAGCAAACTTAGTTCGTAACTACTCAACGCAACGATATTTTAAAACGTTGAGCTTGATTAAGGATGACGATTTAACTTTTTGGGCATGCCAACAGTAATAAAAGTACTGTATTCAACTAAATAATTTAGAAACAAAAATGATGTTTATTCTAAAAAAGGTGAGTTTTTGATGGCGGTTGCAGTCAATCAAAAACGACGAGCAGTGCATGTATCTTAATGGGTGGATTTTCATTAAATGCTGTGGACAAAAGAGTTGCTCTGGCAGTTGCGGAATCTCCTAAATTTTAAATTTCACCAACCCTTACGAAACACGGAAAATTCAGATGAGATTGAAGTTCTTCGCAGGAGAAGGGCTATTGGTGATTATTAGCATGGGATTTTGAACTGCTGATAGTGCATTCATCATGTACTCCTGTGGGAATCAACCCCTTCCCCCTCATTGCTAAACGACCTCACACTTGGGCGTTAGCGTCAGCAGGGAACAAATTTTCTTTTAACTTCGAAGTATGCGTCTTTCTGGACCAATAACTACTTGACTGGAGGTGGTTAAATTGATAAAATGTGGAAGTGAATGTCCCTAGCCAATGAAAGCAATTTCGCTAAGATTAATGTTGTGTGCATTAATTTTGCAAACTTGGTCGTAGTTTAAGAGCTACTAACATAAACAAAGCATTGAAGCATATTTGATTGAATACAAAATGGAATTTCCCTTTAAAATAGACAGATGATCAGTTGATCAGACCTTGATCAAGGGAGACTTAAAGGCACCCAGACGATCAAGTGAAAACCAACAACAAGCTTTTCATTCTTAGGACCATTTCCTTATTCGGTGGTTTTTTTTGTTTTCACTGTTTCAATGACTGCGCATTTAAAACTTAGTTTCGACCTAAAAGTTGTGAATAGTTTTTTAAGGCGCGAACCATTCAAAATGCCACCGTATTTCGCAGTTGAAAGTGGCGCTATTGGCCTAGTGCGTCACGTCGATTATGTTTGCACTCTAGCCTCTTTTATGTAGACTTTCCGGACTCTAATGATATGGGGCTGCTTGGTGAATTATTTCGACAAGCATGGAAGTTATACTTCAAAGGGATGGGTAGTTCTCCTACATCCGGTAAAATCTCGCCCATTTATTTAGGGTGATAAAATCGTGGAGTGTGACCCTGTATGTGACACTACGTGTGTGCGTTAATTTGTACAGACTTTTCAGCAAATTTGCACCCTTCATGTCCTTCCACCAGATACACAGGAGAGCTTGCTTCGGTGTTGATGTAGTGGGTTGCCCGAAATCTACCAACGGCAACCTTTTTACGTCCCACTGTTCCACAAAAGTCCATTCACTGCTTGCTGCCGATGGGCAAGCAGTGAAAGGCATTTGTTCATACGTTGATCTAGCTTGTGTTCGAGTGACTCTTAATTGAGCTTCAATCTCTTACTGCATTTGCATTGAGTCTTCATGCGGTAGAGTTTGTAATCTCGCACCTTCAAACTTTCGAGGCTGCTCGTGGCCTGGCTCGTCACTAAGACCGAAATCACTACTTCTACAACGCTTGTACCAACAATTACAAGCTTCATAAAGCATAACATCAGCACTAAGAACACTACGATTTGAATCCTCTGCTTTCGAAGAAAATATTCCTTGTTGGAATTCGTATAAACTGCAATGCAATCTAACATGCTTGAATCAGTTGTCATCGTACACTCTGCCATTATGGGGGGTTATATAACTCACGTGGATTTTGTCGTTCTGTTTTCCAAAAAACTGCGTCAAGTCATCTTCAACGAAATACGCACATTGTCCACAGCTTCAAGCTGGCTATTCACTAAGGCGTGCTGCACCCTCCACTGACCGGAACAAATGGTAGTTGGATGGGGCCAGGTCTGGTGAATGTGCGGCTGGTGGGAGAATTTCCCATTCCACGTTCAAGAGGTTCTGGGTCGCGCAAGCAACTTGCGATTGAGCCTTGTCATGCATCAGCAGCAACAGTACTGCAACTTGACTACTTCCTTGCCCGGTAAATGGCCTTTTCTGATCAAGTGTTTCGCTCCGTTTCTTCCATTTTTGGCTGTAGCTGTTTGCAGTCACGGTCTGACGGCCTATTTACAGGAGCTCGTAATAAAGTACACCATTTGTGTCCCACATAGGCATTTGGGTGACTCCTAACGAAGCTGCAAGCTCTTGATGCGTTCGCGTTAAGTCTTCATCCAGTACAGCATGTTGTCCTTGGTGTGGCTGGTCAAAAAGATGGCTTTCTTCACTTCTAAAACGTTTACACCAATGAATACATAATTCATCAGACACAACCTCGGCACCAACAAAACTACAAATTGAAATGCCCCGTGATTTAGAAGCCCTTTTTTCCTTGATGGAATTCGTTTAAGATGCAGTGCCACCCAATGTGCGGTTTATCAGATGCAATTCCGAGAGCTAATGTATCTCACGTAGGCCTTTGGTTTGGTGTTGTGCAACTCTGCATTTGATCCTTTCAAAACCACAAACGTCCTCAAAAATATTTCGATTTTTAACTCGAAGAATAAATCTGTGCAAATTAACTCATGCTCCTGAGGTTTTTGCTTCGTAGCCTGGACTCTGTATCATACTATTCAGTTTGCAGATGCAGGCCGGGACTAGCTAGTATCATAATTTTGCTGAATATCATTACAAAGCAGTCTCGAGCAAGGCAGGTAAAGGCGATCCCTGCATTTATAATAAATGAGATGTGGTAGAGCATTATGAATACTTCGATATCATGCAACTAGTCACTTATGTTGGATGTTTACCTGCTTGCATACTTTAGTAGCTCCGAAAAGAAGCTAAAATAAAATATCCAGTGTTAATTATTTGCAAGCCAAAGAATGACCTTATCAGTGGATAAGGAACTCAAACCTTTGCATTGCGTTTAGTTGGAAATTGGTAATTTTTTGGAATTTCTCCTTGGACTGAACCAAGCGTTAGCTTCGTCACTTGCCTCTGGGAAAATACAATAGCACTTGTATTTGGCATGGGAGGCGCAAGTTAAAATCGACGCCAAAGTTTCAACACGGAAGGGAAAGAGTGTCAAATGGATGAGCCATTTCCAGTGATTGTTGTGAGCCATGGACGTTTGTCCTTAACTGGCCCCTTTGCACCCGCACGTTGTTATTTCAATCCATGAAGCACGAAACTCGCACATATATCGGCCAATTGAGGTTTTGACATCACACAAACAACTCCCAAGCCGGTGAGCTACGTTATGAGCCATTTTTTTCGGCAAACGGCCAAGCCAAAGTTCAACTTTGAAATTAGGTTGGTAACGATGACTCATGTTCACAAGAGGATGCTGAATGACGCTACGGTGGCCTCAGTTCAACACGTATTTCGAAATATGCGTATAATTGATTTTCGCTTGCTTAGAATTATTGGAAAAAATGGTTTCTGGAAGCCAGTAATATCATCACTTCTTTTGACATTTATAGGTGTTATTCTACACACACGTATCTGTGCATAAAAATATATGCGTGAATGTAAAAGTAGACTGTGGCATGAATTTGAAGTCTGTCGTACTGAGACTCGTGTCTTTCAGCTTAAAACTTCGGTTTCTGTGCGAGTTGGACCAAAGTGTTGCGTATATAGGTCAAAGCGATACGTATTGGCCGTATCAGTGCCTTTGTTCTTTCTTCACCAGTGAGCATGGAATGCTGATGACCTTTACTGGTTCTTCACGAATTATTGCGAACTTTTCTCTACTGTGGTGGGTCAACGATCTAAAATTTTGGTTAATCATTAAATTTACCACAACTATCTTCATCCGTCATGGTGTCTTTGCTAGGTCTGCCGGTGACATAAACCACACATCCTTAGAGAACCCATACACGAGACTCACCGTCCTAGTGCTGCTATGGCAACAAGATCTCGTGGACAGCCAAAACCCGGGTGTCACGTCAGGTTACGCAGCTTACATAAGTTTGGGGACCTAATCCTGATGAAATGAGAGTGGGTAACTCTGATTGTGTTGAGCTTCCAATGTAAGTTCGCACAGAATGACCACTAATAAGAAAGAAAATGGGGCGAAAATGGCAGTGAATGTCGGTTCGTGTGACGATGTGTCAGTATTTGTTGTGTTACATGCAGCTGACATTTAAATCAAATTACCGCACTCGAGAACATTCCCTCATGCCTGTTTTGAACTGTTGTGAACTTTCACCCAACGAGCGTGAGTGGGGCGTATTCACGAGTTGAACGAATGTCATCGATTTTCGATTACAGTTGGTGTTCGATATTCACTCACGGGCTGTGTTAAAAAAGACGGGTGGTCAAATGTAAATAAAGCCTGATATTCGCTATCACCAGTCTTGCCTTTCTTCTCGGGCTGTTATAGGGGACTGTCGACTAGCAGGTTGTAAGGTAGCGCTAACGAAGCTGCTACACAGATCGACTTAAAGGGATAGTTTATCAGTGTGGGCATGGATATGGCTTGACTGTGGAGCGGTGTTTTGAGGGTTCCGATTTGGGTCTCAAA